AATAAGATATCAGCATCTCGCACACAGGCACATCTCTACTAAATACTGTGATCTTGATATAGTGATCGGGTATTTATATAAAATGAATTTTAGAAATTGCTCGGTATTTCTATTTCATCAATCGGTTTACTAATATAATGAGAAAATCTTTTCGCATCATATAGCTTGTTAGTATACATGTCTCGTTTATTTGTTTTGTTTTAATTATTAACTTACATAAATTAATTTTTACTTTCATTATCATCTTTCAGGTCTATTTCATTCAACCAACGAGTGATTATTTCAATAATATCAGTCGTTTATCAAAATCTTTATCCATACATCGATAATTCGTAATACGAGATTCAGCAAACGGAATTTCATCAAATGCTCCTTGTCAGGTTGGAATATAGTCACGATAACTCCAAGACTGTAAATATTTGATACTTGAGTATACGGTTGAACCATCAAAATTTCTGGTGCTATATGCGGCAGAACTCCTTCCTTTACTTTTCGGAAGTTTAAGATCATTGATTTGCAAAATGATTCTTCTGTGTAAATCTCTATGATCGTGTTTATAAGAAAGCTATATAGGACAAAATATTCAATTTATCTTTCCGTTCTAATTGTGATACTTCTATGAAGTTTTACCGTAACGAAACTTTTGGGAAATATCCAAAAAAATATTATTATCACCATAATTATTATTTGATATTCCCAAACTATTGAATCACTAATAACTTTAAATGCAACATCTTACGATATATTATTAATTCTATCTTTCCAAGTTGTACTATATTAGTTGCGAATCCTTCTTTTCCAGTTTCCAGATATTTGTGAACTCATTATAATCAATCCAAGATTATTTAAATCTCTCATCATCTAATATTCTCTTAAGTTCAGAATTAATATGTTCTGGTGAACTATTTTTTCAAGTTTCTTTATACGGTACCGTTTTGATAACATAAAGCAACACCAATCGTTGCTCAGTTAACACCCATATTAGCAGACTTTCAAAGTATTCAAATGCTCGACTCCATAAAGGTAATAAAAATCGTTCAAATCAGACTTCTTACAATATCAGCAGATTTCTGGTAGTTTATTTCTACTATAATTCCATAATAATAACAAAGATTAACATAATTCACCTCATCAGAATTTCTTAACAGCTGCTTTCATATAATATTCAAAAGCGTCTTTTCGATACTTATTTTTTTTTTTGTTTTGTGAAATTATACTATAAAAAATATTTACTGCATTATTTTCTATATTTATGTATTGCATAACAGGTTGGTTTGAGAGTAATAAAGAACTTTTTATTAATTAATTAATGTGCAGAAAGCAGTTTCATAAGTTAATTTTTGATTTATAAGCGATTTTTTATATTGTTTACTTTTTATACATTTTGGTTCATTCACAGCAAAACCATGTTTAGAGTATATATATATATATTTATATACTCTATGCATGACTTTGCTTTGAATGAACACAATTTTTTACGTTACACCTGAACAGAATTTCCAAGTTAATTGGCTAGCTGAATCTTTTTGAATGGCGGGTTTACACTGTTTCCTAGTTTGTAGATAAATGTTACAATATGCATGTGGCACAATGTGTTACACATTTTCAATAAATACGATGCTTCCATCGTACTTACGTACATAACACATTCTTTCTTGCGTTAAAATGTCAATTAATAATAATCCATCTGAAAAGCATTCAGAAAAAATAGACACTTCATCAAATATTGTTCAAACAACCCATAATATTACTCAATTGAACTTAGAAGATAACGAGTCGCAAAATTTTTCCCAGGATTTTCTTAATGAAATTATTAAAGAAATGTGTAATCTGTATAATGAAGAAAAATTGAAAGGCAGAGATTCCTGTTCAGCACTTGATACATTAGAACAATTTCTTATAGAGAAAAAACAAAATCTAGCAAATGTTGTCAATTTTTGCTTAGATAACAAAATTAATCCTACGGTTCAAATCATTCTTGCATGTTGTTATTGTTATGGTAAATGGATTGATAAGGATGAAAATAAAGCATTTATTTGTTATCAAAAATCTGCAGAAATGGGAGACGCTAGGGGAACAAGTAATGTTGGATATTGTTATCAAAATGGAATTGGTGTTGAAAAGGATGAAAATAAGGCTTTCCTTTATTATCAAAAATCTGCAGAAATGGGATGTGCTGGAGGAATACATAATGTTGGAACTTGTTATCAAAATGGAATTGGAGTTGAAAAAAATAGTCATGAAGCATTCATTTATTATCAAAAATCTGCAGGAATGGGATACGCTGGATCGACTTATAATGTTGGATATTGTTATTTCAATGGAATTGGAATTGAAAAGGATGAAAATAAAGCTTTTATTTATTATCAAAAATCTGCTGAGATGGGGCACGTCGGTGGAACATATATGGTCGGATATTGTTATCGAAATGGAATTGGAGTTGAAAAGGATGAACATAAGGCGTTCATTTATTACCAAAAATCTGCGGAGATGGGAAACGTTAGTGGAATATATATGGTTGGATATTGTTATTTCAATAGGATTGGAGTTAAAAAGGATAAGCATAAGGCATTCATTTATTATCAAAAATCCGCAGAAATGGGATACGATAAAGGGAAATATATGGTAGGATATTGTTATCGATATGGAATTGGAGTTGAAAAAAATGAACATAAAGCATTTACTTATTATCAACAATCTGCAAATATGGGAAATACCAATGGAGTAAGAGAAGTTGGAAATTGTTATCTTTATGGAATTGGTGTTGAAAAGGATGAGTATAAGGCATACATTTATTATCAAAAATCTGTAGAGATGAGTGGAATGCCAAGTGCTTCATAACGTCATTGAAATGGAATTTGAAATGATAAACACTAATAATTTAACTTGCGTTAAATTTGTGCAAAAAAGAGAGAAAAAAAAAAAACCTTTAATGTTATAAAATTTGTAGTAAACCAAAGAAAATAAAAATTTTGAAGAGCTATACTACAAGATTTTATCAATATATTACATTTTTGTTTTAAATATAAAATGATCCTGACTTTATTCTAAAATGACTAATAAAATATTTTTTGAAAATTGTCAATTTCCTTCCCTTCCTTTTCGTATCACAAATGACAAGGTCAAATATGAGTAAAGTCAAAAAGATATATATTGAAATATGACTAAAATTTATAGAAAAAAGAACTGAATCTATGCGTTGACAATAGTCACGTTATCGCGAGGATCGCCAGATTTGTGGCTTGTATGAAAAGAGGCTTATATGAAATGACAATAGGTATGCATATGATTGTATGCAAATAGAGATTACGCATAATTACAGAATTATGCATTTGCATGCATGTAATAAAAGTTATACGTAAATATACATTGCGACAAAGATTATAAAGATAAATGTGGGAGAAAATTGTGCTTTCTTACTTCGTTTGTCTTGTTCACTTTCTCTTCTGCCTGATTACTATCTAGCTCTTCGAGTTAGTCCCATTCCACCGCCTTCACTCATTGTTGTTGTGTAACGAGTTGAATACGCTGCGCCATAGCGTAGGCCCATACATTCGATCCTCGTTTATGATTCATCACGTGAGCACATATCCACGTGAAAATAGATTTGTTACTGAGCACAGTATGTAATGGCAGAAGAGAAAGATGAAATGGCCCATCATGTACCTTCATAATGTCTAATATGAGAATAATGCTACATCTAATTTTCGTAATTCAATGATAATGACACGTACTGTACGAAATAGGTGCAACATATTGATTGGATAAATTTTTCTGACCAATGAGTAATAAAATTTTTTTTTTTTAGTAAAAATACAAATTCTATTAAAGCTTTTATAGACTAATTTAATTCATTACATGTTTCTTCATAGAGGCTCGAATTTTTTCAACTTATCACGATGAACGATGAAGACATGATTCTTAATGAAATTATTAAATTTTATTTTTTACAAAATTTTATTTTTTTTTGAACTAAAAAGCTTCAATGAAACAAGTATTGGGGCTATATTTTTTAGTATAACTAAGAAGAAAATTTAGTGGATGAAGTGTAAAGAAAAAGCAAAGAAATGTAATTTATATAAACAATTTATAAATAATATTTATAGCAATAAATTAAAATTTTATTCTTTTATATATTATTATTATCAACTAAAGTTATCTTTATTTTAGCCTTATTGATAGCACTAAACTATCCACGTAGTTCACTAACCCGATACAATTTTTCTAAATGCCAGCTGAACTTTTGTAAAGCCCGTCCTTTATATACAACGTAATGTTAAAAGTAAATTTAATATAAATTAAATTTTGCATCAAATATAATTATTATAATAAGCCACTATAAATATTGCCTTGTGTTTATGATTAAACTAATTGCGATACCTATTGTATTACTGTAAAATGCTTCATCGATCTTTGTAGGTTTCGTCAAGCACCATTAATCCGGGGCTCTTTAATTTAAACTACACCATTGCGAACCCTGTCTCAAACAATCCAATACTGGACTTTGTTGTATAATTATTACAATAACTTCTAGTAATAGAAATCGGCTCCGAACAACTCATCGAAAAGCACTTCATAGACACCATGTTACGCCAACACTCATTTCGCCAATAAGCTTATTTTAAGACGATTAATTCACAGACATGTTCATTTCGTGGACAGTGCAATATAAAATTATACTAATATGAGCTGAAGTATCCCGTGCAACAGAATACCTAAGAGAACTTTCCATAAAAAATGCACTTACGCAGAACAACATCTTCAATATAATAACAGGAAAGAAAATCGGGCGCGGATCCAACTAAAGTGGGTGCAAAATAACAAAAAAGATATACTATATTGCGCAATCCACAAGCTCTGCTACTCGAGACTTGATAAAACACTTTGTACCGGGAACGCCCATGGCGTCGAGATAAAATTAAACAATAGAACACTTTACAATAGACTGTCGTATAAGCAAGAAAAATTTGGATGTCTGCGTATAATCTTTTCAGAATTGATCAAAACCTACCATCATAAATAGAGGAAATAGTTAAAGCTTTTAACATAGGTCCAAACGTCCTCACAAGTTGATGATCTGGCTACACATAAATATAATTTACGAAATTTGGGTATGGTATATCAATGAAAGATGGGGAGACTGTCCACTTCCAAAATCTGCAATTCCATTAATATGGAAAGATCTTGCTTATGGGGACTAAGCTGCGAAGAAAAGAAAAAAGCTATCTTGAAAAAATAAATACTTCAAATAAATGATGTAAATACGTAGTTATTTTGTAAATAGTCATACATCATGCAGATGTAATATCCATTGTACATGCATAAGTTCCTAAATAATAATTATAATAAAATGGCGTCATATGACGTCCCAACTATCACCGTCAGGGTTTTATTTAAAAATAACACTAATATTAGACTGTATGCGAAACTGTCTGTAAATTCTGAAATTAATAAATCATCTGTAAAATAAGCTTTTCGGTGAAATAATACGGGCCATACTTATAGTTGTCGTCCAAATAATTATAACTATTAGCCCAAATTGAAATTTTGTCCCAAATCCCAATTCGTGCAGTAAGCCCCAGTTTTAAATAATCCAAAATAATGATTAATGGTTAATACCCTAGAAAGCCCCAAACTAGTTAGGTTTGGTCGACAACTATAGACATACTGCACTATTCCTACGATTACGTAACTCTTAATTTACTGGCAAGTGTTACAATACAGATACATATATGGTAGAATGCAGTACACGTCTTCGATAAATATGATGCATACATACGTATTTAAGTACGTACGTACGTAACACATTCTTTCTTGAGCTAAAATGTCAATTTTCAATAACTCATTGAAAAAGCCGGAAAAAATCGGCAGTTCATCAGATATTATTCAAATAGTCAATAATACTTCACAATTGAATTTAGAAGATAACATGTCGCAAGATGTACTTGATGAGATTGTTAAAGAAATGTGTAATCTGTATAATGAAGAAAGATTAAAGGGCATAGATTCCTGTTCAGTTCTTAATAAATTAGAACAATTTCTAATAAATAAAATGCAAAATCCAGTTAGTATTATTAATTATTGTTTAAATAATCAAATCAATCCTACGGTACAAATCTTTCTTGCAAATTGTTATCATTACGGTAAATGGGTTGAAAAGGATGAATATAAGGCATTTATATATTATCAAAAATCTGCAGAGATGGATGATGCTAGGGGAATGAATAGTGTTGGATATTGTTATAACGAAGGAATTGGAATTAAAAAGGATAAAGATAAAGCGTTCATTTATTATCAAAAATCTGCTGAAATGGGATTCACTGGAGGGACGTGCAATGTTGGCTATTGTTATGAAGGAGGAATTGGAGTTAAAAAAGATGAATATAAAGGATTCATTTATTATCAAAAATCTGCAGAGATGGGTGACGCTATTGGTATAAGTAATGTTGGATATTGTTATGAGAATGGAATCGGAGTTGAAAAGGATGATCATAAAGCATTCATTTATTATCAAAAATCTGCAGATATAGGGTATGCTAAGGGAGTAAATAGTGTTGGATATTGTTATGAGAATGGAATTGGAGTTGAAAAAGATGAACATAAGGCATTTATTTGTTATCAAAAATCTGCCGAGATGGGGCACGTTAGTGGAACATATAATGTTGGATGTTGTTATCTATATGGAAATGGGGTTGAAAAGGATGAAAATAAGGCATTCATTTATTATCAAAAATCTGCAGAGATGGGACACGCTATTGGAACATATATGGTTGGATATTGTTATTTCAATAGAATTGGAGTTGAAAAGGATAAACATAAGGCTTTTATATATTACCAAAAATCAGCAGAAATGGGATATGATAAAGGTACATATAGCGTAGGATATTGTCATCGATATGGAATTGGAGTTGAAAAAGATGAACATAAGGCATTTATTTATTATCAAAAATCTGCAGATATGGGAAATACTAATGGAGTAAGAGCAGCTGGAAATTGTTACCTTCATGGAATTGGTGTTAAAAAGGATGAGTATAAAGCATACGTTTATTTTCAAAAATCTGTAGAGATGGTTAACGCTTGTAGAACGTCAAGTGCTGTATAACGTTAGAAAATTTATAATAAATCAAAATAAATGAAAATTTTAGTGAGCTATACTAAATATTTTATTAATAACTATCTTGTGTCTTAAAGATGATTCTGACCTCATTATAAAATGACTTAAAAAATATTTTTGAAAAAGTTGTCAATTTCCCTCCTTTTGCTTGACAACTGACAAGGTCAGATATGAGTAAAATCAAAGAGATATATTCGTCTGAGTCTGCATAAATTTGCATGTAAATTTTTTAAAAAGGTGAAGCAAAAATTTTGAGTTATAAACGATTTTGTCTTAAGAAAAAAGATTGTTTCATCTGTTAAGGTTATAAAATTACCGTAATTCAATGATACTGGCTAAAAGGCACGCACGAAATTGGTGCAACATGACTGAATAAATTTTTTACTGTATCAATGAGAAACAAATAATAAAAAGCTTTTAGCAAAATAAAGCTGATATAGATTAATTTAATTCATTACAAGTTTATTCATAGGTTCAAATTTTCGTAGTAATTTTTGAGTAAAACAACGCTAAGACACCTGAATTATTGTTTCAACAGATCGATTATTGAAGACACGATTCTTAATAAAACCGTTAATTTTATTTTGAAAAATTTTTTTTCGGATCAAAAATGATGCAAATGAAGCAGGAATTAGAGCTATATTTTTTATTAAGGCAAAAAAGAAAACTTAACATATGAAGCGTAGAAGAAAAAATAAACCATAGAAAATATATTTTATATAATTTATGAATATTTGTTATTTTATATATTATTGCTATCAACTAAAGTTATCTTTTATTTTGCTTTATTGATTTTGCTAATACGTATCATCTAATAACTGTGGCTAGAGTTGAAAATCTTATGTTCTCATGTTCTCATATTTTTAGATTTGAGAACATTTAATATTCTGTAAATGTTCTCTAAGAAAAAAAATTCGAGAACATAATACTCGAAAAATATGTTCTCTATGTATTACATAAATATAATAGCATAATGCCAGATGGAAATAAAATTAGGAATCGAACGAAGGGTTGGGACAAAAATTTGAATAAATGCTCCATATTTTCCGAAAAAAGGAATTTAAAAAAAATTGAGATATAAATAAATTTTATTGTTGAGAACATAATTAAATTTATTCTCATGAGAACATATTTCCAACACTGCGGTGGCTCACTAACTTGATTTAAATTTCTGAACGCTGGCCTAATTTCTGTAAACCCTTACTTCATTTATACAACGTAATGAAAATTATAATAAATATTTAATTGTTTAATTATTACTTGATCAAAACACATTTAAAAAGTTATAATTCGGTTATTAATTTAAGAGAATTATTAAATTTTGTGAAATAGTTTCTTAAAAATTAATTAGCATCATATTATTACTATAACTATCACTACACATTTCGCCTTATGCTTGTGATTAAACAAATTATCGTATTACTGGAATATACTTCATCGATTTTCGTAGGTTTCATAGGTTTATCATAAGTTTTGAATTCGTCAATGACGAAAGTTTTTGGAAGCCCTTTAGTTTCATAACTAAAAATTAAACTTCTTTATTGAGCTCATTGCCAATCTGTCTCAAACGATCTAATACAAGGCTCCGCTTATCTATAATAATTCAATAGTGATAGAAATCAGTTCCGATCAACTCATCGACAATTACTTCAAAGACACCATATTTTGCAGACATTCATTCACGAGAAGCTTATTTACAAAAACCGATTAATTTACAGAAAAGGATCATAGCGATAGACAGTATATCTCTGATTATGTAGCTTCCTAATTTGTTTTAAGTGTTACAATATAAATTCATATATGGTAAATGTGATTCATATCTTCAATAAATATGATACGCCCATATGTTTGTAATACATTCTTTGCATTAACATGTTAATTTTTAGTAACATGCTTGAAAAACAGCCAGAAAAAGTCGACAGTTCATCAGATATTATTCAAATAATCAATAATACTGCTCAATTATATTTAGAAGATAACAAGTCACAAGAATCTTCCCAGGATTTTCTTAATGAAATTGTTAAAGAAATGTGTAATATGTATAATGAAGAAAGAATGAAACGTTTAAATTCCCGCGTTGCTCTTAATATATTAGGACAATTTTTAATAAAGAAGAAACAGATTCCAGCTAATATTGTAAATTTTTGTTTAGATGATCAAAACAATCCTACAGTTCAAGTTATTCTTGCAAATTGTTATCATTATGGTAAATGGTTCGAAAAGGATGAGCATAAGGCATTTATTTATTATCAAAAATCTGCTGAGATGGGTGACGCTATTGGAACGAATAATGTTGGATATTGTTATCATATTGGAATCGGAGTTGAAAAGGATGAACATAAGGCATTCATTCATTATAAAAAAGCTGCAGAGATGGGATATGCTGGAGGTACATTCAATGTTGGATATTGTTATCGACATGGAATTGGAGTTGAAAAGGATCTCATTAAGGCTTTTAATTATTATCTACAATCTGCAGATATGGGATACGCTCCTGGAGCATGTAAGGCTGGATACTATTATCAATATGGAAGTGAAATTGAAAGAGATGAACATAAGGCTTTCATTTATTATCAAAAATCAGCAGAAATGGGTTATGATAAAGGGGCATATATGGTTGGATATTGTTATCGAAATGGAATTGGAGTTGAAAAAGATGAACATAAGGCATTCATTAATTATAAAAAATCTACAGAGATGGGATGTATTAATGGAATAAGAGAAGTTGGAAACTGTTATCTTAATGGAGTTGGGATTGAAAAGGACGAGTATAAGGCATACATTTATTATCGAAAATCTGTAGAGATGAATGATGCTAAGTGAATGTCAGGTGTAGCATAACGTTATCGAGATATGATAAAATTAATACTGGCATCGAAATTGATTTTAACATGAGTTCAAATATGTGCGGGTGTATTGCGATATACCACAATCAAATGGGCTGAGTGCTGCAAAAAATTTATATAATAAAAATTTTAACAGACTACCTTTGTGTCTTAAGTAAAAAATGATCCTGACCTTATTTTAAATTGATTTATGAAAAAAAAATAGTCAACATTCTTCTTTTTTGCATTATAAATAATAAGGCAGGTATATTTAAAATAAATATATATATATTAGTTTGAGTCAGCCTGAAATTTGTAAAAGTTGCAAAAAGTAATTTCATAAGCAAAATTCGAGTTGCGTATAGATGATTTTTTGATTTGAGAAAAAAGATCGTTACATCGATCGATCTTTATTAAGGTTATAAATTGCCATACCATAATTCAATGATATTGGCTGACGATACTAGTGTAGCATATCGACAAGATAGATTTTACTTAGTAATTTGGAAAAAAATAATGAAAATATTTTCTTGATTAAAGTTCAAGTTCCTTTAAAGC